ATGGAGCCGTGGTTGCACAGTGGTTAAGAGCATGGCTGCTAACCAAAAAGGTCGGCAGTTCGAATCCACCAGCTGCTCCTTGGAAACTCTGTGGGGCAGTTCTGCTCTGTCCTGTAGGGTCACTATGAGTCGGAATTGTCTTGACAGCAACGTGTTTGGGTAAGCTAATATCTTACTACTTTGGTTGCCAAATGTCAACCCATGGTGAAATAAAGGCAGTGTAGTGGACTTCTGGGAAAGTAAATTTATTGTTCTGTTCGATTCTAGAATAGGTCTATTCTCTTTTTTTTAATGTGTGTGTGATTTACAAGTCCTACCATTATTATCGTATATATGAATATTTCTTTTAATACCCTTACTCATGTAAAATGAGATGCTGACAAACCTTTGTCAGTCCCCCGATTTTACTTCTGAAATTTTGCCACTTCTGAAATCTGAAGATTTGGGAACCACTAGGACATGTGAAACCTGACTTTAGAACTGGTTGTCCTGAAAGCACTCTGGGAAGAGGTCTATTCCGCTGTGCTAACCCCTGTATTCCAGAGCAGCAGTCCATGACCATTTTATTTGTCTTCCAGTTACCTGAGGGATCCTAGTCATTAAAGGTAGCACAATAAGCTAATTCCTAGAATTTAACGCCCCCACCCCACATGCATACACATCAGGAGATGTGGAACATTTCTCTACCTTTCACCCTTGAGATTCAGTGCTCCCTAGAGTATTAGGAATTTAAGAGGCCATAATCATTGTCAAGGGCTGCTTCTGAGTATATCTTTACTGTCACTGAGGGTTTATAAAGCAAAGTTCTCAGCATTTGCGTTTTAAATGCTTTATCATTTTCCAAGAAAATTGATAATCTGTGTAGACTTTTCATAGTACGATAATTAGTAAACAGAAGGAGGTGATGCATTTGTTAGTGTTGATAAAAAGGAAATGTAATCATATCTCTGATTTCCCTTTCATTCTTTCTGCCATAGACAGAGATTATTCAGTGTTCTTCCTTTAATTTGAAATTTATTAAAGCATTATTGGGACTTGATTAAATTGAGTGGTATTTTTATATTTTTGCTACATTTAATTTGAATTATGAAATATTTGAAGTAATATGAATGAAGTGCTAGCTTCTTTGATACTTGTCTTAGTTATCTAGTGCTGCTATACAGAAATAGCACAAGTGGGTGGCTTTAACAAATGCAAATTTATTTTATCACAATTTAAAAGGCTAGAAGTCTGAAATCAGTGTGCCGGCTCTAGAGGAGGATTTCTTTCCCTGTCAGCAGTGGAGGAAGGTCCTTGCCTCTTTTTGAGCTTTTGCTCCTGGGCAATCTTAATGTGGCTTGGCATCTCTCTTCCCCTCATCTTATTTCCTTAATCTCCTTTTATATTTTGTAAGAGCTTGCTATATCCACTTGATGGCAACAGGTTTGAGTTTTTTTGGGTTTTGACTCAAGACACATCCTACGCTAATCCTGTCTCATTAATATAACAAAGACAGCCCATTCCCAAATAGGATTATAACCATAGGCATAGAGGTTAGAATTTGCAACACATTTTTGGGGGACATAATTCAATCCATAATATTCCACCCTTTGGCCCCGCAAAATTCGTGTCCCTGCCACGTGCAAACACATTCACTCCATCACGTCATCCTAAAAGTTTTAAATCAATTCCAAGCCAGATTCCATCCTGGGGCAAAATTTTTCATCTGTGAACCTGTGAAATCTAGGATACAGGTTATTTGCTTCCAAATCCAAAGTACAATGGTTGAATAGGCACAAGGTAGACATTTCCATTACATATGGGAGAAATTGGAGGGAAAGAAGGGATAACAGTTGCCAAACCCAGCAGAACAATTTAAACTCTCAAGACTTGAAAATAATCCTCTTTTCTCTGAGACCATCTATGCAAAGGCCCTGCCCTTCAGACTCTGGGTGTTGACCGTGCCATCTGGATTCTGGGTGGAGGCCCCTGAGCCCTGGGCTTCAGTTCTGCCATTCAGGCCCTCTGGGTTGGCAACTCTACTCCCTCAGCTTTAGGCAGCCCCATTCTCCTAGTTCATCTGAGTGGTGGCCCCACCCCCTTGACCCCTGCAAGTTCCGTTCTTCTGCCTCTTGGGCATGGCAGCCCCACCCCCTCAGTTTTGGGCACTGGCCCTATCCACCTTGGCACACCTTAACAACAGCCCCACACTCGGGAACTGAGTTGGTGAAGATCCCACTCTTTGAAACCTAGGAGGCTGTGGCCCCACCTTTTGAGATCCAGGAGACTGTAGCCTCACCCTTTCAAACCCCGAAGTCTCTGCTTCCCGTCCTCCTTCCATCAGGTCTGCTGGTCTCCGAGCGGCTCCAGGGATGGTCCTTTTCTTTTCTGGGTGGACAACAGATGTATCTGCTTTGGCCTGTTTCCTGCCTGTAGAATTCCAAGAGGCTGACAGCGTTCTTTCCTTTCGTTCTTTCTCTGTCCCGTTTAGTCTAAGATGTGGTAGTTTAGATCCATCAGTCACAGGCTTACTCTCTTTAACAAAAGACTGTGTAGTCACGTCCTTGGTGAACATTCTAGGACACGTGTCCTTAGTTTATACAACAGAATTTTCCAAATCTTTATTTTGTTTTCATTTTGCACAGTTCATTTTTAAGTCCATCTCTTTCATCTCACATTTCACTGTAAGTGACAGGGAGAAACCATGCAGCCCCTTTAAGATCTTGCTTAGAAATCTCAGCCAGATACTCAAGTTCATCACTTACAAGTTCTACCTTCCACCAACCATTTGAACATAATTCACATTCAAACAAATTCTTTACCACTGCATAAAAAGCATCACCCTTCCACCAATGTCCAGTCACACATTCATCATTTTCTTTTAAAGCCTCGCCAGAAGCACATTTAACGTCCACATTTGTAGCAACATTCTGTTGCTGGTGCTGTATGTATTCTCTAAGATGATAGAGACTTTCTCTATAGCACTCCTCACTTCCTGCTGAGCCCTCACCAGAATTGCCTTTGACATTCATAATTCTGCCAACAGTCTCTTCAAGGCAATCTAGGCTTTTACTACTAGGCGCCTTAAAACTCTTCCAGGCCCTACCCATTACCCAATTCCAAAACCACTTTCACATTTTAGATATGTGTTAGAGCAGCACCCCACTCTCGGTATCAAATTCTGTCATTGTTATCTAGTGCTGCTATAACAGAAATACCACAAGTAGACGGCTTGAACAAACAGACACTTACTTTCTCACAGCTTAGGAGGCTAGAAGTCCAAATTCAGAGCGCCAGCTCTAGGGGATGGCTTTCTCTGTCTGTCAGCTCTGGAGGAAGGTTTTTTCTCCTTTTGAGTTCCTGCTCCTGGGCAGTCTTTGTGTGGCTTGGCATCTGTCTTCCCATATTTCTACTTCTTTAATCTCCTTTTTTATATTTTGTAAAAGCTTGACTCAACTAGGTGGCACAGTGGTTAAGAGCTCAGCTGCTAGCAAAAAGGTCAGCAGTTCGAATCCACCAGCCGCTGCTTGGAAACCGTATGGGGCAGTTCTGCTCTGTCCTATAGGTCTGCTGTAAGTTGGAATTGACTCCATGGCAATGGGTTTGGTTTGCTTGTTTTTATTTTTATTTTTTGACTCAAGGCACACCCTACACTAATCCTGCCTCATTAACATAACTAAGACAACCCATTCGCAAATGGGATTATAACCACAGGCCTAGAGGTTAGGATTTACAACACGTATTTTTGAGGAGGAGCCCTGGTGGCACAGTAGTTAAGTGTTTGGCTGCTAACCAAAAGGCTGGCAGTTTGAATCCACCAGCTCCTCCTTGGAAACCCTGTGGGGCAGTTCTGCTGTGTCCTGTAGGGTTGCTATGAGTCAGAATGGACTCGGTGGCAACAGGTTTGGTTTTTTTTTGTTTGTTTGTTTTAATTTTTTGAGGGACACAATTCAGTCCATAACAATACTGTACTGGAGTGATGTGCAAAATCAAAGAATTAGTAAATGGTATTAAAGTATCATTTAATAAACTGAAATTGTGTTTTAAGTACACTTTAATATTTTTTTTAGATTAACCGTATGCACAAGATATTAGCATTGGGAATGGTTGGATAGTTTTCGATATGCGATGTTGTTTTAAAAATGTATTTTGAACTATTGTGTAATATACCTAAGTGTCATTAAGATTGAATATTTCTGTGTGAATGTCTTTCAATTTTACATTTTTAGATGAAGATAGAAATGATTTGCAGAATAGTTTCCTTTTCGCTGTCAGCTATCAGCAGACTCATGAAGGAGTTCAAAGGTACAAGAGATTGTACCTCTCTTTTAGGCAACAGGAGATTATATATTAATTTAAAATGTTTATACTGGTTGTTGAGAACCAGTATGCTTTAATAGGAAGTTTAATACTTCATTTGGATGAGCCGAATAGTGTTGATGCCATAACTCTCACAGAAGTGGGAATCTGGCCTGGGCCTGCCACTCAAGTGGACTTCAGCATCTTCTGGATTGTCCAAGGCTGTGAGGCCAATCTTTACTGATTGTCTACTAAATTTATCTTAACATTTTTTATATTTAGTCTCTTATTAATGCTATTTATAGAAATGATGTCGTCTCAAATTATTACCATAGCACAAAAGAAAAATTGAAAAAATGTATTTATTATTTGCCAGACCTGGTTATAGCAACGTGAGGTAGATACTCTTATTCCTGTTTTACAGATAAGGACACTGAAGCACAGAGAGATTAAATTACTTACTGAATTCCATACAGCTAGTAAAGTGGTAGAGCCAGGATTTCAAGCTGGTTAGTCCAAAAGGAACAAAAATCATCACAAATGTTTCAGTTTTTTAAAGAAACTGTATTTTCTTTGTTCCTAGTTCATGCAGTAAAATAATGTAGAATTTTAGTGGGGAAAGAGTCTTACATAGAGTTTTATAAGCAATTGTAATTCAAAGCATTGTCCTTTATTTTTAACCCTTTCCAACTAAACTTACATATTTTTTCCTAAACCCACAGGAATATCGAAAACAGAAAAAAAAGTGAAATTGGAAGAAAAAAGCTCCACAACATTTGGTATGAACAGAAAGTAATCTTTAAGCAAAAGACTGTAAAGCTTGACAGACAGGGAGGACATAGTCTGGCCCTTACTTTTTACCTGTTAATGCTCATTTAGGTGTAAGTGATCATCTGTTTTAGTATTCATTAGTATTATTCAGCTCCAGATATCTGATTTCTTAAATACCTGTTTTTTAGTTTTCAATATACTTTTTGTCAAGGAAGTCTAAGGCTTTCCCTGAGAATGCTCATGTTTTTGAACATCTGTATAATTAAAATGTGCCTCCATTTAATATTCTTGAGACTTGGAGGATGGATGATAAAATAATCTTTTTTTTGGTAAGACTCTTTTCTCAGCATACCTGATAAAATAGTTACTGAGTTTTCTATTGTCTTTTCTGTCTTCTGTGCTGACTAAGTCAGGGAATGATGACTAAGAGAATGATGGATGATAGCCTTGAATATTCTACAGATTAGCTAAGTTTAGCCTGGGTAACAGAGTTGTAAATATGATGGATAAATTGTAGGCTAAACCATTCTGAGTTGGAACAATAGCAACTAGAATATATGTAATGAAATAATTTTAAATAAAATGTTCTAAGATATTACTGTAACATCCTGTTCATTTTCATTAGAGTACCTATGATTGGGGAAAAAAACTATAAAATTTTGGGAAAAATCATTTTAATGAAATACTTTTTTTTAATGTTCTTAGCCTTCATTCTTCTATACATTGGGAAAGTATTGAAAGACATTTATGGATTGACTTGATTTTTTTTTTTTTTTAATGTTTCTTCGAAGAAAAAAGTTCATCAGGTTTTTTAAAACCTTCTAATTATAGTTTCTCATTAAAGTATATATGGTAATGCTGAGTCTCCTCCATCAAGTCTTTTTTAAATTATGGAGTTTTATTTCTTGCCACATCCGGAAATTGAGTATATTACTCATTTAAAGATTTTAACTGCTGTCTGTGTTAACTTTAAGGTGTCAGGAGTTGGGATTTCTCAACACTGCTAATGAAGATCCCCTCTTATAGTCCAATAACCTAATCAAGAGTTCGAGACTCATGACATGAACAGTTTAATTGAAATCCATCCACTCTGGGCAGGTGACTGGAATAGCTGATTAAAACACAGATGCTGCGTTTAGGTTAGCCACCAAAGGAATAACTCTGGGCTCGTCATGATTGTTAAAGTACTTCTGTTTATCATTAGGTAAGAGAAAAGAAAAGGATAAGGAAAGAAAAGAGAAGAGAGACAAGGGTCCCTACAAACCAAAACAGAAGAAGAAGAAAAAAAAGAAAAAGAAATCTAAGCAACATGGTAAGTACGCCAAAGTGCCCGTTCCCATTTTTAAAAATATTAAGATTCTGTCAGCTTTTACCAAAATGGAGGTATGACAAGATCCTCGTTGTTGGGAACTGAGAAGTACCTTTAGCTTTAACTTTGTCTTACTAATTTCAAAAATATATAAGTCTGCTTTATTATGGTCTTTAATTCTTGTAGTAGATTAAAGACTTTCATTTCCAGGAGTCTGGTGGACTGGATACACTGAGCAAGCCTCCTTTAGCGTACTGGAGGAATTATTCTCAATATAGAATAGTATACTCACTTAAGTTAGAGCTCGAGAATGAAGGTGAAATAAAGATATTTTTAGAAAAGCTTTAAAATACAGAAAGAGTTTGCTACCAGCAGTCCATCTCTGAAAGAAATTCTAAAAGGTATACTTTCAGGCAGAAGGAAAATGATGACAGAAGGAAGGCTTGAGATGCCAGAAGTAATGAACAAAGAAAACATAAATATGTGGGCAAATCTAAACAAACATTAATTATATGAAATAATTTGGTCTGTAGAGTAAAACAAAACGATATAGAACAAAAATATGTAACAATAATAATAGCTTGTAAATTGGAAGTGGCATACTTAAGTAAACGAGTTTCTAAGCTTCTTGTTTTGGAGGAGTGAAAGAAATCTCTTGATTTTAGACTTCGATAAGTTAAATCTGTATGTTAAAATTTCTAACATGAACACTGAAAGAGTAGAAGCATAGGGTATAATTTCCAAAGTAGAGGGGAAAAACATAATGGAAACCTAATCCAAAAGAAGACAAAGGAAAAAAAAAAAGAAAAATATAAATTATAAAGTAAGATTTTAGAAATATATTCAGATTTATTAAGTATAGCCATATAAGAAAGATTATCGAAATAGATTGTTTTTACAGTCCAGTTCTGTGTTGTTTACAATAGACATTTCTAAACTATAAGGATAGAGAAGACAGAGAAATGTTGAAAATAAAAGAATGGAAAAAATAAAGTGATAAAAGGTCCCATTCAGTTTATATCTTTCCAGATACAAAAATTCTGAATTTTACCATTGGATGACATTGTCATATTTTCTTAGTAATTAACAGATTAAGAAAACTAAAAATTGCTCTGTGAGGATAAGGAAGGTGTCAACAGCACAGTTGATCTAATAGATGTGTACAGAGCACTGAACTCAGCAGCTATAGAGTACACAGTTTTCTCAGACAGACACACAGATTATTAAAATTAACTATGTAGTGCAGATTAAGGAAATCTTAACAAATATTAAAGATTGGTGTAGTACAGACCATAGTTTCTAACTACAGTATGGTTAACTAGAAATAAGTATCAAAAAGGTAAATAAGAAGGCCTCATATGTTTAGAAATTAAGCAGCTGACTCCGAATATCTCATGGGTCAAAGAACAAGTCCAAGGGGAAAGTTAAAAAAAATGTTAAGAACCTGGAAGATGATGAAAATATTCTATGTCAAAACTTGTGGCGTGTAGTTAAAACGGTACTTAGAAGAAAATGTATTGTCATGCATGCTTCTATTAGAGAAGAAGGATGAAAATCAGCTAAGCTGAAGAAGAGCAAGAATAAATCCAAAGAAGTAAAGATAGGAGCAGAAATTAGCTTGAAAAAATGTTAGGAAGAATTTAAAAATGCCAAAATCAGTTCTTTGAAAACACTAGTAAAATCAGCACACCTCTGGGAAGACTGATGAAGAAAAAAAGAGAGAGTGTACAAGGACACACAAGCCGTCATCAGTTCAGATTAGAAAGCAGCAGAAAGAGACCTGCCAGAATGATCATGAGTGTCTCCTAAACTGCATAGGCAGCACCTGAGTGTTTGTGGCATTAATACCCTTTATGCCATACCTATATTTTTTGCATTTATTAAACATTTAATAAAATAGTTAAAAAAATAAATAAAAAGCCCACTGGGACAGTAAGCGTTGGTAAGTTCTTCAGATTTTAATTCTCTCCAGTCAAAAAATAACATCTGATTTTTCCATACAATGTGAAGTTTCCCCATTCTCTAAAACTGCCAGAGCCATTTTGAAGATACAGGATCAAAATGACTTTGAAAAGCTTGAATCCACTTTCCAGAAAGTATCTAGAGCATTTCCAGGCATTCCTGTGTCTACATTCTCCCCACCTCTTCCCACCCTCCACCACCCACACTCCTTCAGACATAGCTCTGTAGGATCCTAACCCGAGATAACCAGTTAGGGAACTCTGGAGCCACGTAAACAAAAACCGTTCACCGGAAATTCATGTGACTACTGAATGCCCTCCTGTGAGTGATGTGTCATAATACAGAAACGAGAAGCTTCAAACTGGAGGTAAGAACTGCTAGATCACCTGACAGCTGGCCAGAATCTGTGAGGGGATTTGGCTGGCTTGGGTGTTAGTGGAGACATAAATTGTCAGTGCAGGAACAGCCCGCTATTTAGGTCCTCTTCTGCTGCATCATAGCAGACACAGACTCTTACATGCTAAAATACCCGTGATAGTTGAGGGAAAGAGAACAGGGAGAGGCTGACCAAGAACAGAATAAGAAGGGGATGACACTTGGGAGCATAGTGAAGGACAGAAGAGCTTGTGAAAATGTAATAGGTGGTAACTTGGGAGAAAGAAGGGTGATTAGTATTAATAGGATTTAGAGAAAACGTGCACCTTAGAATTGTGACCAGCCCTTGATTAAGATAATCTTTTAAAAAGAGCTGTTTAAAAGAACTAACACTTTAAATGTTATATATTTTTGTTTTTTAATTAAAAAGAGACATGTCTTTGTTTGCATCTTAAAATCAGATCTATAAATGAAAATCTTAACTTTGTAAGTAGAGCCCTGGTAGTAATGAAGATGCCCAGAATTATTGCTATATTTAAACAGCAGGTGTTGAGTCTGGTAATCACCAGCATCTTGGTAATTAATTATTACATTTGAGGAGAATTTATTCACCTTGAAAGTGACACTGTTTACGTTCATCCTGGAGTGACACATTTCCCTAGATGATTAAATTAGAAGAATGTTCTTTAAACTGAAAATACAGAATTTAAAATAACTTTAAACATTTGAAAGGCATTGTAATTTTAAAGAATTCCCATTATTACTACATGTGGTTTCTAGTGTAGTGTTTTTTAATCTGCAGTTACAACTGTGAGGGAGTTTTAAAACTTAATTCTTTTGTTCACTATTCAATGTGATTTTGCATATCCTGCTGGTTGTGGTTATGTCCCAAACACTAGCTAATCATTGTATATACTGGCTCATTTAATCCTCATGTTAATTCTTTACATTAGGGCTTTTTGTCCCCATTTTGCAAATCATTAACTAAAGCAGAGAGACTAAGAGAGTTGCCCAAGGTCACACGGCTAGGAAGTAGTGGAGAAGGGATTCAAAGCTGGGCAGTCTGGTTCCAGAGTTTGAATTCTTAACCATCATGGTGTGTGTTAATCTTATCTCCCATACCTTAAAGGTTGATTATCCCAGTATCTATTGTTCCCTTTACCAAGTTTTTACTTGTCTTTATTGGCTTACTAATTTTTTAATGGTTATTGTTATTTTAAATGAAGTTATGAAAAGTAGTAAAGTACATAGTTTTTTTAGTTTTTCTGTACAGTAGTGGGTGTCTTAGTTATCTGGTGCTCCTACAACAGAAATGAATGGCTTTAACAAAGAGAAATTTATTCTCTCACAGTCTAGGAGGCTAGAAGTCCGAATTCAGGGTGCCAGCTCCAGGGGAAGGCTTTCTTTCTCTGTTGACTTTGGAGGAAGGTCCTTGTCATCAATCTTCCCCTGGTCTAGGAGCTTCTCATCGTAGGGACCCAGGGTCCAAAGGACACGCTCCCTTCCTGGTTCTTCATTCTTGGTGGCATGAGGTCCCCCTGTCTCTCTGCTCACGTCTCTCTTTTATATCTCAAAAGAGATTGACTCAAAATACAACCTAATCTTGTAGATTGAATCCTGCCTCATTAACATTACTGTCTCTTATCCTGCCTCATTAACATCATAGAGGTAGGATTTACAACACATAGGGAAACCACATCAGATGACAAAATGGTGGACAATCACAATACTGGAAATCATGGCCTAGCCAATTTAACACACATTTGGGGGGGGGGACACAATTCAATATATAACAATGGGTTAACATATATTTTGATTACCAGAATTAATTTATAAGATATAATACTATCTAACATTGTGCTCACTTTATGAATATTAGGAATCATCCTATTTGGATTTAGAATAACATTTTTACTACTTTTTGAGCAAGTCACTTCATTTCTTTGAATTTCATGTATCTGTAAAGATGAGGAAACCGAGGCATACAGAATTTAAAAAGAACTAGAGCTAGAAATACAAAGAGAATCCAACACATTCTATAGTAAAATCAACATTTCCTTTCAACGAGTTTGTGAGTAAGAGTATAAATAGGTAGTAAGAGTGATAAGAAGCATACATAAATATTTTCAGAAAGGTATGATAATTAAGTGTGGTAAGAATGGTACAAAATAATTTCTGTTTAAAGTTTTGAGGAGCTGGAGTGATAAGGAGCTTTATGTGGGGGGTTACATTTGATCTAAGTATTGAAACATGGCGGTAGACTTTTATTCTTAATATCCAAAGGGGATTGGAGTGAAGAGTATAGATAGGGTGTAGAAGGCAGAGAAGTTTTTTTCATTTGCTAATGTAACATGGAGAGATTGTGAGCCATGTTTTATTTTTAACACCAAATTGAGATTTCTATCATTATTTTTACAATCAGACTACTACGTTTACTTTTGCTGGGGAGACAATATAATGTAGTAGATAAGAGAACAGCTTCCAAGCCTCAGTATTTGGGTCAGATCCTGCTCATGACAATTATAGCTGGATGATCTTTGACAAGTTACTTAAATTCTGTAAACCTCAATTCCCTCACCTTTAAAATGAGGATGATAGTTTCTACTTCATAGATTTTATTGTGAGGATTAAGTAAGGTAATCATTGTGAAGTACTAACACAGTACCTAGCATTTAATAAATGGTCCCTCCATCCCTGTGCCTGAGTAGCATGGTGTTGGCAAAGCGTGCCCTGTCATGTTACTAGGAAGCCATGAGAGGCAGAGTAGCTCAGTGTTACTCGAAGATTGTTCTGTAGACTTGGAACATCAGCCTCCTCGTATGGGAGTATCCCCACTCCCGACCTACTTGGGGTGAAGCCTGGGAACCTTGTTTTAACAAGCTTTCTAGTTTGTGTGTACTTTAGATTCTGAAATCCACTAATAACGCGTGTTGGTTAAGAGTGAGTTTCTGTAAGTCGGGCCGTCTGGGTTTGAGTATTGACTTTGCCACCAGTGGCTGTGTGTCCTTGAACAGTTTACCGAACCTTTTCTTACTCGGTTCTTTGATTTGTAAAAGAGCGGTAACAGTTATATCTTCCTTATTGGATGATTGTGAGGATTAGAAAACCTGTTGCCGTTTAGTCTATTCCAACTCATAGCGACTCTGTAGGACAGAGTAGAACTGTCCCATAGGGTTTCCAAGGAGCAGCTGGTGGATTCAAACTGCTGACCTTTTGGTTAGCAGCCGAGCTCTTAACCACTGTGCCACCAGGGCTCCATGAGGATTATAGGAGTTGTTAAGTAAATGTTGGCTATGCTCTTGTATTTAGGATGACCACTGTGTTTGTTTCCCATTGCTGCTGTTAGTACAAATCAGTGGCTTAAAACAACACATATTTATTATCTTAAAATTTTAGCGGTCAGAAGTCCAGATGGGTCTCACTGGGCTAAAATCCAGGTGTCAGCAGGGCTGTGTTCCTTTCTGGAGGCTCTAGAAGAGAATTCATTTTCTTGCCTTTTCCAGCTTGTAGAGGCTGCTCACCTTCCTTGGGTATGGCCCCCAGCTTCAAAGCCAGCAGTGGCCACTTGAGTCTTTCTTACATCGTATGGACACAGCTTCTGCTTCGCTTTTTCACTTTTAAGGACTCTTACGATTACTTTGGACCCACCCAGGCCAACTGATTATTAGCAAGCTTAATTCCATTTTGCCATGTAACCTAACATACTCAGAAGTTCTGAGGATTAGGATGTAGACATCTTTGGGAGGCCATTATTCTGCCCACCACAGCCATCAACTTGAAGTAGACACTCAGTGCAGATGAATATTGTTACTAACTCTTCTCTTGTAAACTTGCTTTCCCACTACCTTTCCTCAGCTTTTCCATTCTTTCCCACCTGTTATTTATTCCTTTCCTTGCCTCGGGTGATGTCTGTTGCCGCACACTCAGTTGAGGAAATAGAAACCATCCGATGGGACCTTGCTCGTCTTCCATTCACCACATGTTCATACGTACCTGACAATATCCATCTTCTCCTCTTCTGCCTGTAGTAAAATGGAGGGAATGTCTGTCTTTCTGTTCTTAGAGTGCTGCATTTCTTATCCCTTTCCTATTGTGTGTCTTTAGATTCAGGTAGACAGTGTGTAAGATCTCCCATCTTCAGACAGCCCTCCTCTGAACTGACGTTCCTTCTCTGTTTCTCCGCATCCTATTTATTCTTCAGCCCCATCTCAAGAACCTCACTTTCATCAGTCGGTTGTCTAGGCCAGAAACCTGGAAGTAACCTTGATACACCATCTCTGCTCTCCACATCCAGTCTGTAATACCACGGCATCTACCTCTTAAGTTTTTATCTCAGCTGCCACCACCTCCTGCTTGGTAGACTGCTGTAGCCTGAGAACTCATTCCCCCACTTCTGCTTGCGCCTCCCTGCACTCCATTGTCCAGTCCATAGCTAGAGGGATCTTTTCAAGTGGTGATTGACATTATGTCACATCCTGCCTTCCCTCAGAGCCTTTGAATGGCTTTTATTGTGTTTAGCATAAAACTTAAAAATGAAAAAATCTTTAACCCGATCTGTCTCCTGACACTCCAGCCTCATTTCTTATCTCCCTCTCTTGCTGTGCTCCAGCCACACTCCCTTGTAGTTTGTCAAATGTGCCCTGTCCTCTTCTGCTTCAGAGCCTTCCCGTGTACCTAGAATCACACCCACCACTGCCTTTCCTTCCCCACCCCACTGCCAGCCTCCTGTCAGCTGCATATGGCCTCTCCCCTCTCATGCAACTGTATGCATCATCCCAAGCTGAGAACAGAACTTTGACTAATTTCTTCCAGAACCAGTTAATTTCACTCAGAAGTCTTAGGACCAGTTAATTTCACTCAGACCTTTTATTGCTGAAAGGATTTATTGATCAAATTATCACTATAGTAATAGGCATGCTAGACATCACAAGAACCTCTTTACAAATTGTAAACAAAGGTTACTTTTTATCTTGCATATCTTACTTCAGATACAGTTGTGGTTATAATGAGGAAAAAAATTTAAAATAATCCTTTTTGTCTCTTTGACTACATAACCAAACAATTTCCTGGTGCTGCTGGTTAGAAAATCGTGATCCCTACTAGGTGTATAATATCTGGGGTATATTTCCCAGGAGTTCTTGCCAAACTCAGTTTGAGCTACATAGTGATCTGGCTGTTCGTAGGTAAGAAGGAAAGTGTGGCGTGTTACTGAAGGTGTCTGAAAACATGACCTCAGTATCTTTGTAGTGACTCTTCTCGATCACCTGAGAGTTTATTAATATTTCTTTCTGTATTTTCTGTTGCAGACTATTCAGACTATGAAGACAGTTCCTTAGAATTTCTGGAAAGGTGCTCTTCTCCACTAACTCGATCTTCTGGGAGTTCTCTGGCTCTGCGAAGCATGTTCACGGAGAAAAATACAACTTATCAGTACCCAAGGGCAATTCTGTCAGTTGATCTTAGTGGTGAAAGTATGTGTAACCATGTAATGCTTAAAAAAAAAAAAAAAAAGAACCTTAAGATTCTTAAATGTGGAACTGAAAATAAAACATGCTTTATGGAGTGCTTACATGATCTGGGCACACAATTAAAAAAGTTGGTACAGAAACTAATATGAAAAGCTCTACATTAGAAATTTGAGCTACTTTTTAATTTAAAGTAAAATTGACTTCTATGCTTCATGTTGGGAGAGAGTAAGGAAACTAATATTAGTGTCTTGCTGTATAATGGGGCCTCTGGTAGGTGTTTTTACGTACATTTTCACATTTATTCCTTACCGCCAACTTACAGAGTCGGTATTTTTATCCACATTCTATACATGAGCAAGCAGAGGCTTGTAGGTTAAATAATTTTGGGGGCTAATATTGAACTGAAACTCAAACCAAGGTTTATCTCAACTCCAAACATGATGCATTTTCTACCAAATCATTTACCACAGTCTTAGAAATGCACTTTGAATTCCTGCTGACTGACGAATCTGTAACCAAAGCTCTGGGAACATGGGCAGGTCAGTGATGAGCACAATCAAGTGTTGGGCACGCGCTGTCAGACGGAAGGCCGTGTCAGAGGGAGAGGAGTGCTGGGCTTGGAATCTGTCAGGTCTTCCTGCAAGTCCCTCACTTCTGCCTCGTCTTTGCCTTACCTTTCATTTGATCAGGCATTGAGCTAGGAGAAAGAAAGGGTCAAAGGCCAGAGGTCCTCAGATGTTAGTGTGCATCAGAACAACCCGGAGGGCTGGTTAAAACACAGGTTTATGGGACTCGCCCTCAATTTCTGATTTCTAACAAGTTTTCAGGTGATGGTCTGGAAACCATGCTTTGAGAATACTGTCTTAGGAGATAGCAATGATAGTTCAAGAGTTAGTTGTTGGAAGGAAACAGGTATTTCTGTGGCCACTTAATTGGAACCATTGTTCCTTTTAAGTGTAAGAGGTGACTGTTATTTGCTTTTCTTATATAACTTCTAACCTTTTAACTTTTCTTATATAACTTTTTTACTGAATCCCTGGATTCCACCCAATTTATGTTTAATGCTTGGGAGTTGGTTATTCAAACTGGATTTTCAGGCAATATGTTAAATATGTATGCTAATAACATAATTCTTGGTTATTTTGGTCTTGCAAGAATATGTGATATGTATATATACTAATTCCTTTCAAGGACGTAGTTTTAAGTTAAATTCATTATTCTGTTGTCATTGCCATCCACTTAATACAAGATTATGGATGGATGAAATTTCCTCTTCAGGCTCTCAAAACTAGTCATATGGCTAATATTAGAAATGTTTTCCCTCCAGAAAAAGTTTACTTATCTAATTAATTTACTTCTTGCTCCCTGCGTGTTTTCATGTATTTCTCTACCATTATCTCATTTCTGCTGACCTCACTTTCTCTAAAATCCTAAGACCCCTAAAGAGAACATTAATTTTTTAGTAAAATATTGATTTTTGACAAATAAGAAAAAAACTATTCAAAACAATGGAGTGAGAAAAAACAAGCAAGATTAGAAGGTGATAGAGAAAACACTAAGTCATATGCAACATTTAAAATACAAATAGCATGAACTTTTTAGTTTGAATTCAGCCAACTTCCATCTGGTCTAATTAAGTCTGAAATGAGCATTTTCTCTATATTGACTCCCTACCTACCTCTTCCACAAATATTCTGGAGCACCTACTCTATCAGGCCTTATTCTAAGGAAGGGATGTAGCATGCAACAATGTAAATAAAGCCCTTGCTCTCATGGATTCTGATGCTGTAGAAAGGGGAGATAAATAACAAGCAAGTAAAAGAGTAATTCTGAATGTGACTAGACGATAGGTGGGTGAGGTAGAAAGAAACCACCTCTTCATTGTTAGAGTGTTCCACTGATCAGCCTCATACCAACAACCAAACCAAACCCGGTGTAGTCCAGTTGATTCTGACTCATAGCGACCCTATAGGAAAGAATAGAACTGCCCCATAGGTTTCCTAGGCTGTAATATTTACAGAAGCAGATTGCCAGGTCTTTCTCCCAAGGAGCATCTGATGGGTTCAAACTACTCAGCCTTTCAGTTAGCAGCTGAGTGCTTAACCATTGTGCCACCAGGGCTTCTTGATTAGCCTCAGCAGCTTTTAATGAAGTTTTCTACCATGTATCTTGTGAGGGCTCAATTTTCCCAATATTTCCATCTAAGCTGTTGTAAGACCTTCTTTAGTAAATTGTGCCCCTTCATTTTTTTACCTTTGTCATAAATAAACTCACCCTTACGTTAGCCTTGATTTTTTTCTCAGTAGCCTGAGACGAATGATTCTGACATCAACACTCAACATTATTGACACTGTGGCATCAACACTTTTATAAACACAAACCAAAAAGCCGGCATTTAAATAGAATTGTAGTGTTCATATAATTTAGTTTCTAAAATATGCTTATTCATGTAAGATTTTTATCGAAATTAAAAAAATTCCTTAGGGAACTTGTGGTCCACGTTTGAGAAATAGTGGTGAAATCATTAAGAGTACAGCCTTTAGAATTAGGCAGGGTTCATATTCAACCCAGTTTTGCTACTACCTGGCTGTGTTAACTTAAGCAAGTTCTGTGTCTTCTATTTAAAGTGCATAGTATAGTACCTGATGTATATTAAGCGCCGTGGTGGTTGATGCAGCTGCTGGTGTTGATAGTAGTAGAATTGACGTTCGACCTTAGGCAAGCTCCTTACTCGCCATATTGTCTCCATAGTACAATCTAGAATTCTTATCAACAGGAATAATGTTTGTGAAAGCATTTGAAAACTATGCACATTTAAATTAATAATAGCAAATTTAGCCACGACCTCTGTCAGAACCAAGACTAAAGAGTACTTTCTAAGTCATTTGTGATACTATCTGCATTAAGATGCAAAGCGGTTATAGTTACCTAAGTGTTGGTCCAGAGACAACTACTCTGTTGTTATTGTTTGCCCTGCATTTTGAACATTTAATAGCTTATACTCACTTGTGCCATAGCTCCTTTCTTTCTGGAAAATGGCACATAAATGAAAAAAAAGTGCTTAATATACTTTCATGTATATTGTAGACTTATCAGATGTGGACTTCCTGGATGATTCTTCAACAGAGAGCTTGCTTCTAAGTGGGGATGAGTACAATCAGGACTTCGATTCAACCAATTTTGAGGAATCTCAGGATGAAGATGATGCTATTAATGAAATTGTGCGATGTATTTGTGAAATGGATGAGGAGAACGGCTTCATGATTCAGGTAATAGGGTAACCCGTCTTCCCCGCAGTACAGAATGAAAGGTTCAGGTGTTCTGCAGGCACATCCTGGCTTTTGTTTTTTCTTTCTACTAACCACGCTATTGAAGATATAGGATTATACGTTATTATCATGTTTAAAATAGCAGTAGTAATGATCAGAAAATTTCTTTATCAAATGAAGTAGACAGTTCTGTTATTTTAGGGTCAGTATTCATTTACTGGGTGGTGGTAACGGTTAAGCGCTGGGACTGCTAACTGAAGAGTTGGAAGTTCAGACCCACCCAGAGGTGCCTTTGAAGTGAGGCCTGGTGATCTGCTTTTGAAAGATCACAGCCTTAAAAACCCTGTGGAGTGCAGTTCTACTCTGTACACTTGGGATTACCATGAGTAGGAATTGACTCGATGTCAGCTAACAACAACTGATGAGTAATGGTTAACCCATTACCTTTACTGGGGTCCCTGGGTGGCACAGTTAAAGAGCTCAGCTGCTAACTGGAAAGTTGGAGGTTTGAGTCCACCCAGAGGCTCCTCAGAAGAAAGGCTTGGTGATCTACTCCTGAAAAAATCAGCCAGTGAAAACCCTGTGGGGAACAGTTCTACTCAGATACACATGGTGTGGCCATGAGTTGAAATAAATGGTATCTTGTTTATTTGGTTTTTCCCTTTAATGGGGTATTTAGTGTGAGACTTTCAAAGCGGAAATTATTTTTAAGAGCCACTAAAGTAGATAAGCCTTCACATTGAAGTGTAGGCCCTAACAACCTTTCTCATAATTACTGGTCTTGATCTGTGTTGTTTGATAATTTGTATTATATAAACCAAAGCCCATTGCCAACGAGTCAATTCCAACTCATAGCGACCCTATAGGACCGAGTAGAACTGCCCCACAGGGTTTCCAAGGCTATAATCTTTATGGAAGCAGACTCATACATCTTTCGCCTGTGAAGTGGCTGTTGAGTTTGAACCACTGATCTTTCGGTTAGCAGCCAAGTGCTTTAACCACTGAGCCACCAAGGCTCCTTTTACATTGTGTAGTCACCCATTAACAGGCAGAAATGGAAAATTTTTAGTATGCTCCTAGATTAAAGGAAAACTTTGTTGCAAGAGGTTGACCATTACAAACAGCGTCTTACTGTAGGAAGGATATCGTCAAGAAAAGAGGGACGCATAACCCATATTTTGTGATGACGTGGAAACTTTGGAGAAGTTAGTGACAGCAGTGAAGAAAAGAGTAAACTTTTCTTTCCTTCCCCTTTTCAGTGGTTTCTCACATAAGGGACCTGTAAGCTTACGGAATCCCGACTCAGGTCGCCCTTTAAGAGGTCACTGCTACCTACAGACACCGTTACAAACTTTTTTTTTTTTTTTTAAACTTCTGCACTTTAATAAGCTATTTAAAAAAGTTTTAAAGATGTGATTACCTAAACATCAGTGAGAAATAGATGGGGGAATTATTTTATGACTTCTTAATGATTGAAGTAATTTATCCAAGCACATTTTAATAGATGAAACTAAAGGAAGTTCTTGAAATAGTTGACTCAGAGATAAAACTCATCTTAAGTCATGGCTCGCCTTTGTCAAAAAATGTCACTGGTGGCAGCAGCAAGAGATCCCAGCAGCTTGTTTTCAGAGGAAGAGACTCGTGTGTAGTGAGCAAGCCCGATGACCGTAAGCGCTCCTGTTTCCCGGCAGTGTGAAGAGTGTCTGTGCTGGCAGCACAGCGTGTGCATGGGGCTGCTGGAGGACAGCATTCCGGAGCAGTATATCTGCTACGTTTGCAGAGACCCCCCTGGTAAGGCTCTCACCCCTCTGCTAACTGCAAGCTGTGCATACACTCCAGATAGGGGCAGCTGTAAAACACCATGACTTCTTTGTCAACTAGACTCCACTGCCACATTACTTTTTTTTATATTTCTTCACTGTTGTAGTTTTATTTTCCATATTAATTACACAAGAACATTGGGATAAATCTATCAACAAAATTATTACCTTACTGGAAGGGCCGAGTTGCGGCTTTTTCCTGCAGAAAAACTAGCCCCTTTGTATACCTCTTGGGGCAGTTCTGCTGTCACATGGGGTCACCATGAGTCAGAATCAATTTGACGGCACCTAATGCCAGTAACGTACCTCTGGGCATTGGTTTCTAGCCAGCTCATTTATGGCTATTTGAACGGACCAGTATTCTGAACTTGCACGCCTCCTTTTATAGTTCTGAAAAGTTTTTGGTAGTGCTGCACATACAGCTAATTATGGTGCAGGGTGAGATTTCAGAAGTCATCTCATTCCATCCCTTTGTTTTACTGAGGAGGGAGCAAGGGCCCAGAAAACCGTATGCCTCCTGCAAAACGATAGCACCGCACGTGGCAGAGCTGAGACGAAAACGTGTCCTGGTCTTTTTTCCTGGTTCATTGTGCTGTCCTTAGTGCCGCCCTCTGTGGTAGTGGTGCTTCGAGTAGCAGCTCCGTGTTGTGGGCCCTCAGCTGCCGAGGCAGGAAATGGCTGGTTCTGCAAAAGGACAAGCAGTAGACATTCTCAGATGACAGGCTAGTGAGTTGCTCCCATACCTATCCAAAAAAAAAAAAAAAGTCACAGTAAGAAGCAGGAGTATTATTTAGAATTATCTGACTGTAGACATTCGTCTGTTCATTCATTCATCAGCATTTATTGGATGCCTGCTGTTTGCAAACACTGTGGTAAGATGATTGATGGAGATCATGCCTTCAGCTCTCTCATGGTGTAGTAGAGGACACAGACACAAAAGCAACTGATAGTAATAGGATACAGTTAGTATCAGCGTGGACTTAGGATTCTGTGGGATCACAGACACGGGAGGGGTCCCTGTTCACTCAACTAGAACTTGTTTCATTCAGTGTAAAGCAAAGCTTAGTAAGAGAGGCAGGAGTCCCAGCCCAGTTTCTGCCTAGTCCTTTCAGCCTCTTTAGAGGAGAGCTGACCGATACAGAATTATGGAAAGCGATGCGCTCAGGGTCCCTTTCGCAGACGCCATCTGCACCGGCCACATCCTTTGTTGTGTTTATTCGCATTGGTGGGCAGAAGTCAGAGGGTGTGGACCCGCTCCCACAGTGCTGTCTCCTCTGTACACCATCTTAGTCTTCTTTCAGATCTGCTCTTAGAACCGACCTCACCTTGCTACCTGAATCACGTTAGTAGGGTAGAAGTTGGAGGGAAATCTAAGTAAGTGGACTCCTTTGTAACTGTAATGTCAACTTCATCTACAGGTCAGAGGTGGAGTGCAAAATATCGTTGTGATAAAGAGTGGCTGAATAATGGGAGAATGTGTGGGTTATCCTTTTTAAAAGAAAATTATTCTCATCTCAATGCCAAAAAGATCATTTCCACCCATCATCTGCTGGCTGATGTCTATGGTGTTACAGAAGTACTGCACGGCTTACAGCTGAAAATCGGAATACTAAAGTAAGTGAAGGCTGCCGAGGGGAGTCACACCTTTTAATTAAAACTAAGTGAGTTTGCCTTTTGAAGGTTCAGATCAGAGTTCGCATCATAGAGAATAGGTCTTTGAATAAAGTTTAATTTTTTTAAAAAAGGAAAGATGAAATATTTTTTAGATGACTAGACATCCCTGTGTCCCCCATCCCTGGGTCCCCTATCCCCTGTCCCCCCACCCTTGTGTTCCCCCACCCCCATGTCCGCATCCCTGTCCCCTCATCCCTGTCCCCCACCCCTGTGTCCCCACCACCATATCCCTACCCCTGTTCCCCCCACCCCTATCCCCCCATCCCTGTGTCTCCCCCACTGAGTTGGTAACCAAATACTCCTGTCCATTGTAATTCCTTAGTGTGTTCAGTCCATTCCTGCTCTCCTTTCTCACTGGCACCGTCTCAGTCCAGGCTGTTAATTTTCACATGAAAAGTTGCAATACCTTCTTAATTCTCCTATCTTTTCAGTCTTGTACTTTTTTCAGTTGATTCTTTATATTGTTTCCATCATGAACTTAATAAAAGATAAATACGAGCTTGTCTCTTTTCAGCTTAATCTATCACAAAGGAACCAAGCCCAACCCACTGCCGTCGAGTTGGTTCTGACTCATACTGTCCCTGTAGGACAGAGTAGAACTTTCCCGTAGGGTTTCCAAGGCTGTAATCTTTATGGAAGCAGACTGCCATATCTTTCTCCTGAGGAGCCACTGGTGGGTTTGAACCACCAACCTTTCGGTTAACAGCCTAGTGCTTTAACCACTGCACCATCAGGAGATGTCTTATATATCACGGTGTCTTCCTGTTGCCCAGTGAATGAAGCCTGAGCTCTTTAGCACACTGTCTGAGGTCTTCCGTGTCTACCACTTTATTGCCATGACTCCCTGTTCCCTTTTCTAATTTTTACCTTCAAATATTCCAGCTAGGCCAGGCCACTTTGAATCCTTGAATAAAGCATGCTGTTTCATAGCTCCAGGCCTTAGCTCACACCCCCTACAAATAACCTTCTACCATTAGTCCCTCTAGCAGATGCCTTTCATGACTTCCTGCCCAACTAGAGTTGATGATGCCCTTCTTGGTGAACTCTGTGCATACTCTTTTCATGCACTTTGGTGCACTTAATGTTTTATGTGTTTCCCCTTATTAAGCCAGGAGTTCCTTTAAGGTAGGGCTTGTGTCTTAGCTATCATTTTATCCCTAGTGCTTAGTGTAGGGAGTACCCATCCTAAGTACTCAGTAAATGTTTGTTGAATGAAGTTCACTTCTATTCTGTGTCCTAACCCTGTATATAAACCCAAAACAACCAAACCCGTTGCCGTCGAGTTGATTCCGATTCATAGCGACCGTATAGGGTGAAGTAGAACTGCCCCAAAGAGCAGATTCGAACTGCTGACCTTTTGGTTAGCAGCTAAATGCTTAACTACTGCTCCACCAGGGTCCCAAACCTATATATAGATTTCTTCATTTAAAAAGGCTATACAAATGCAAAGATTTAAGGGAAGGATTAACTTATTAGGCCTTTTCATTCAAACCTGGTTTTCTTTTTGGGTCTCTGTATGAGTTTCGCTGCATTCATGATTTTGCTAAGAATTTTAACTCCTGTTAGCCTACTCCTGTAGGCTCTTTATGTTAATATTTCTAGTAGTAACAGTAATTATCATTATCTACTATTATTGAGAGTCTGCTACATGCCAGAAATTGTTTGAAACTTTCCTGTGATGTTTAATTCAGTTCTTACAGTAAGCCTGAAAAGTAGATCTCACCTCATTTGGTAGATAGGTCGTCAAAGACAGAGGTTGTGTCACTTGAGCAAACTACTCAGTGACACACGGGGGTCAGCCCACTGGATGAGTGGACTACAGATTCAGCGTTCTCTCTTTATGCCTTTTACTGTTTGGGAAGTTCAGTATTTTCTAGATTTTAATTATTAGGGAATCAAAAGATAATATTTATCATTCCAGAAACAGTACTTGGGTATTGAAGAAAAATTAGACTCTAATTTGGCAATTATTAATTCACATACACCATTGAGCCTTTTGAAGGGTATATGCCTCCTGATGTCCTCTTTCACTTCAGCTTTGATGAATAGACTCCTGTTTTACTTTCCATAGAGCTTAATTACTGCCAAATAAACTTTGCAATGTCATGCCCACATGTTTAGTGAAGATGAGAGTAAATGGGTGTTATAGACTGTTGATGGGGGTGTAATTGGTACAGCTCTTTGGACGTCACTTGGGCAGTACCTGTCAAAATAAAAATGCACGTGTGTTATCCAGCACTTCTACCTCTAGATACTTATCTGACAGAAATATTCCCACTGTGTGCAAAGATACACAAACACACACACACGTCCATCCATGGGGAATTGGTTGGTTAGACTAGACTGCGGCACATTAACACTATTCACACACACACGTCCATCCATGGGGAATT